GTGGCTGATTGTTATGTGTGGCCTTAGGTTCTTTTTAGAATATATCTCCATATTTTCTATTAACTTTAAGTACAGGATTAGAGAGGAAGCTATCTGTATATGCTCAAAGCTAAGACATCTGAATGTTAACTTACATAGTAGCTCATCACACCTCAGTACTAGTGATAGCTTCACTAAGTACTACATCAGTAGTTCCTGCAAGACAAGGCTATTGATGAGTTTTCTTTAGCTTAAATTTCACTCTCAGAATATGTTTTAATAAAAGTCTCTGTTCTAGTTAGCATAACCTCTAGGCCAGTGTTTTTCAACCTTGGCAACTTTAAGATATGCTGGCTAGGGAATTCTGGGAGTTGAAGTCCCCATATCTTAAAGTTGCTAGGGTTGACAAACACTGCTCTGGTACCTAGTAGCAAAAAAGCACTGATTCAAAGAAGTGGACGCTCTGTAATGGAGTGTGAGTCATGTTTTCTGTTTTTTTCTGCCAGCATTAATAGACTTTCATTGTACACGTGCTATAACACTTGTTTTTAGATGTTTTCTCCCCTTGCAGTTCTGTTTGTTTTAAATAAATCATTAAAACATAAACAGTACTTGAATCTTATCACAAACTTTTCAAAATATGGGTTGTGTGCCAGCATGCACAATTGTGGTTTGACTCACGGTAAAGCATACACATAACCTGTTTGCTAAGAACAAAAAAGAGAGGCAGCTGCAGATGGCATGGTTGTATGGTCAGTTTTCAAGCACAACCTTGGATTTGCCTAGCTGCTAAAGTTAGGAAACTATTTGCAGTATTAGAATGTTTAATTGATGTTCACAAGAAAAAGGTGGTATTGGGTCTGAAAGTCTGTCAACACTTTAGGAGTTTGAAAGAAGATTAAGCCTGGAACAACTGAAAGCTGCAAGCCTATTCTGATGACATGTCTTCCCTTCAAGACGCAGCTAACATTTTCTGCTTCCTTCCTGGAAATAAATGAGCTGTAACATCCAGGGACAACTTAGTCACTTCTGTCAAGAGAAATATTTGTTTTGTTTTAAATAGTTTTGAGCAAGGAAAAGGATTCAGGTGCAAGAAAGAATAGGAAGATTCATGTAATAGATTAAACAGACTGGTTTTAGCTCTGATATTATCACTCTTTATATTTTGGCTACAGACTAGAGGAATGATGCAAAACAAGGTCTAGCTACTGGCTATGCATTGCTTGCAACATCTCCAGCCCTCTTTAATAACTTGGCTGTTGATTTTTACAAGACACAATTTGATGAAAAACAGTTCTTTAAAACTGGGAAACTTTCAGTTCTCAAATGAATTTGCTCGCTCCTTTAATGTGAGCTTTCTACTCATGTCTCATTTTATTTTAATCATTCATTGAATTAGAACAAATGCTCTTTGTTCTGATGGTGTAAATTTGAGAATGGGCTCTATTTTGGTGAAACAACAGGCTTGTTCAGCTATTTATATTATGGACTTGAAGTACATTGGAAAGGTTTAGTTTATAGGAACCTTACTGGCTGCACCTTTTACCTGACTTACATTAGTAGTACCATCTGAAAGAAAGATAACCCTGGATTTAAAGCAGATCTCTTTATAAGGAAGATAATAACAAAAAGGTAATAAAGGCATACAAAAATCCTGTACATTATCCAGATTTCTTACCTTGTTAGCTATAGTTACCTGGATGTTTTCCAATAAATGGTTGCATGTGACCAACCTGTGCAGGTTTGTGCATATATGCACTGGTCAGAACCCATGGTCGAAAAAAGGTTAGAGTCCAAACAAAGGAAATAAATGAATGTTATTTGAATTAATGCTGATTAAATATTGTCTGTATTAGTTGATCTATTTGCCTACAGCTATTTTCTTTCACACAAACTACTGTTCTACATACACACATACATAAGAACACACATTTGACTAGAGATAGAGAATCCATCTGGGTTCAACAAACATAATCTTATGCATGCTTATTCTGTAATAAGTCCAATTGAAGTCAGTGACCCTTCTCAGATAAATATGCATAAACTACTACTATGCTGGGGATGAATCTTTTACTGTAGCTTATTCCTTGAAAGTTGGCATAAAAATAGAGAAGGGAATTTTGGACATATTAAGGTGTTTTTCCCCTTTACTTTGCAACAAGGAATAATTGATAGTCTTTGTTGCAGGCCTAGAAGGACAAGGAAAATTATGCATGCTTTTAGTTCAGTTCCTTTTATTCCCAGGTAAATGTGCTTAAGACTTCTGGTCATATTCAGTCCTCATGCTAGTTGCATTCCTCTCTCTTTTCCCTCCAGGGGCAGAAGTAAGTCCCTGCAGTGGAGAGTTTCTCTCTCCACTGAGCCACCCCATCAGATGAGGATTGCAATTTTCCTGAGCCCTTACAGTATTTGTGTGCAAAGCCTCTATTGATCCAGGAGGTTCTCCATAGCAGATACTCACTGTTTACATATGTATGACAAGGAAGAGAGGTTCAAATTAGCATAAACTATCAATAGAAAATCTTGTCTGTTCATTCACACACTTTCAAGTGGGTCTTTTCTTTTAGCATATTCTCAACCAGTGATATGGTAGACATTTAGAAAATACAGTGAGGATCAGCATTAAATCTGCTCTTCATTTTCTGAGACTACATTTGTGGTGCCAGTTTTTGAACTAATCTTAGCCTGTGCTATTAATGTGAGCAAATGTTTATGCTTATTATGTTGTTCCTGAGATCAGTGTGCAAAACTTCCCTCCTGTTCTGGAAGATGACTTTTGATTTTCCAGCTACATCATCAGAAGGGAACTTATGTATAGTCTCAGTACTGTCATCTGCACTTGCTTATATTAACTGAGGAAATGCCTGGTTGTAATATAAAATGCATTGCTGTCTTTGTCTTTAGGGGAGCCCAGACTGTTATTTAAAGTCACAGGAACACAAACATAAATGCTACTCTGTACTTCCCTTTGATTTTTATTTTGCTTTTATGTTAGGCATAAAACATGCTTATCATGTTAGGCTTGCAAAGCTATGCAATAATATATTGAGACTTTTCTGAATGGGCAGTTAAGTCTCATGGTAAAAACAGGAAAGATTCATTGGATGACTTTAGGCTGCTCACTTTTTCAGTCCAGCCTACCTTACAGGATTGTTGTTTGGGGGACAAATGGGAAGAAAAAATGCTACGTAGACCACCTCGTGCTCCTGAAAAAAATGCAGGATATCACTCTAAGGACCAGCCAAATAAATATTGGGGGAGATCTTATTGGCCATTTCTCATAGAGTCTGTTTTGATTCTGGGCATCTTTATTAAAGGATGATCTAATATTGGGATTCTTTGTTGAAAGGGGTACCCTTCGGCTTTGGAGTTGGCTTAATTACTAATTCATCCTCGTTTACCTTCACTAACTCTGAAATAAGTATTCATTATGTGTGCTATAATGTTTGGTTCTAATGTCAATCATCAGGGGGGAAGATTGTGCTGTGGAGGCTGGATTCATTCTATAGTCACCCTTGCATGCAGATTCAGCGAGTTGGGTATTTGTCATCTTCTCAGGCCTTTAAAGTGGTTGGGCTATTTTAAATGCGGTTAAATGGCTTGATCCCAAGGTTGAGCTGCTAATTAGTTGAGAGCTGTGGTGGTCGTGGTGGTGATGAGGGAGTAGAATAAAAGAGGACAGAGCTGAGAGAGGTGAATAGACTTTCAGGAAGAGATCACAGAAACTCTAAAAATCAGAAAATGAGAAAGAGTAAGTTTTCAGGAAAAAGTAGCTGAAGTCATAACGTAAAACAAAGCGTTTTAGAAGCAGGCACAGGCTTGCCATATTGAGCTTGGCTGGAAAGTCCAGAGGAGGCAGTGTAGAAGAATATCTGGAGTTGGCAATGATGCAGCAGGAGGAAATGTTTGTAATTTTCACTGATGTTCCTGTGAGAAAGAAATTTACTCTCCCAAGAAAGGTCTGTGACTCCAGTGTTCACTTAGTATGTGCAAGTGTAGGTGTGAGTAGAGATTAAATGAGAACAGGGTTAGGCAATCTTTTTTAGCCTGGAGGTTGTACTTTTAACAATTATTTTGGCTTCCAAGGGCTGCAGGAAGCATGTCTAGTAACACAGTAACATATTAGGTAGTTGGGCCAAATGTTTTCAGCTCATGTTTTGTGGTTTTGGCAACTTTGGCTTTAAGATGGGAAAGGGTTGCATTTTGCTTTGTAGAATGCATCAGCTTCTACCCTTATTCTGTCAAAAACAACACAAAGTCATATAGTAAAAAATCATCCATTCTACTGTCACATTATGGCAGTGTGATTGGAGGTTGTGTGGGGAGGGGCTATAAAATTGGGGCTTGGGATCTGCATGTAGGAAATGGATTATCTAACCCTACATGGGAGAATCCATAGTCAGATCGAGACTTGATTAATATTCAAGAAAAGAGATCACTAGGAAATCCCAGGCTAGATGAGGAGGTTAAAAAAAATCTTGGAAGAAGGCAGGGGCAAACCACTTCATACTATTGCCAATTAAACCAGTTACCAGGAGCTGAACTGCCTGTTTGATATAGTGCAGATATCCTGCATATAAAACCCCAAGCTCACATTGTTCTGAAGTATTCCCAAATCTTCAAGATTTTTGGCCTGCTGGGGAACATGAGGCTTCTTCTCTATTCGGCTAATGAAATTTGTGCTGGATCAATTAGTTTAAAGACTGTATTGTTGTTATAATTTAGCAGAAATTGAAATAGGCTTGTGTCCATCTGAAAACTGGAGAAATAAATATTATTTTTTTCCAAATATGATCTCAGGTGTCCCCTCCCTCCCTCTCAACAAGTTACAACCACCAACGCATAATTAAAATACATAGCAGGGATTGCTATAAAGCTGAGGGATTCCATTGAATTAATCTTTCTTTTTACTACTCTGTATTAATAATCAAGTCTGCATTGTTATATTAAAGTATACTTACGGTCTGGAAGAATTTGATCGTTGATTTTTAATGCAAAACATGTATACATTTTTATTTTAGAATCTAAATGCAAAGAGACACTTCTCCATCTTGCAATGAGATTGGGTCTGGTTCAACTTTCGCAGTTCCTGTTATTCCAACCAGGTGGAACAGTTGCAGTCACTTTACTTAATGAGGAAGGGTTGACACCATTGGACTTGGCTTTACAGAATGGACATTTCAGTCTTGTCGAAATTTTTTCCAAGTAAGTAGCATGGCTTGATATGAAACAATGGGAAGAAAGAAATTCAGTGACTACTTTTATTTGTATCTCTGTTAAATTCACTGAATTATCCTATTGCAGATGTTTAAATGAAAATACTCTATCACAGTGTTTCCCAACCTTGGCAACTGATGTTTGGCCTTTAGTACCCAAAATTCCCAGCCAGCAAGGCCATTGCTAAGAATTCTGGGAGTTGAAGTTCATGCAGCTGAAAGTGGTTAAGGCTGGAAAGCACTGCTCAATGGAAGTACAATATAAATTACTTGTTTATGTCTTGTTATATATTATAAACTCATATCTGGACCATTTGAAGTTTATATGTAAACCATATCATTCTTAAAATTTAGGGGTAGACAATAATACTGTAAATAAGTAAAAAAAAAAAAAAAAAAGTGAGAAGAAAAATCCACCAGCAGTCTAAAACAGATTAGGAAGACAGGCAGCCAAAAACAGTCCAGGTGAGATAAACATTAATACAACTTCAGATAAAATTGTTTGATTTGCACCTAAGTTTATATGTTCTTAGAGAATATCCAAACTACTTAGGAAGATTTTCTCTCTAATGTGGGATATATTCACCAGATTTGTCTGTTGTATTACTTGCTCTTGCTCTGAATTCAGCTTCCCAAAAGGCTGCTAGTTTGTAAGGGGTTAGAAGATACTCTTTGCTACAGCAGACCAGCAGTCTTCTGTCACTTCAGTTCCTTAACAACTCAGTTATTATCATCACTTTTCTTTCTCCTTACCTGTCTTGCTTTTTGACTATATACTGATTTCTCTCTCTATCACACACATACCATCACACATCCCCTACTCACTCATAAAGCTTCAGTGAAATAGAACAGATTTGAAGCTGTTCAAGAGTTCATTTCCTGCTGAAGTTCTGAAGCAATATGTTATTGCTGATTAGATGACTTGGCTGGCACCATCTATTCTACCACAGACCTGCCCAGGAGATCCTCCCCACAATTGACTTAGCAACAACCCAGCTGTCTGAACTTTATTTTAAGGTTGCCATGAAAGTCGTATGCAAACTGGAACAAATGAGCAAGGAGACTGGTGATTTATTTTAAAATTTTCCTCTTTGGTTTGTTCTGCACAGACAAGGCCACTGTGCCACATATGGGCAACATAATCTTAAAATGAACCAAAGAGGGTGGTTTGGAGCCAGGATCCTGATAGTTGTCTTGTCCAAATGCTCCCATTCTCATTATACAGTCATGAAAGTATTAAATAAGAAAGAAAAATGAGCAAGAAAAAAGAGCTTAGTTACTCCCCCTCCTTCAAATCTATATTGCTGTTTTGTTTCTAACTTTACACAATATCCAATTTGTATGAATTTATGCATTCTTTGTTATCACACTTATTGTCTCAGTTTTATGGAACATTCAAACAATACAGCACTCTCTAGAGACTGTTTTGTATTGTGGTATGCTAATGAGCTGGTTGGCTGCTGGTTTGACTACTGAATCTGGTTTGTGATTAAATAGTCTGCATTTTTTAAAAATCACAGAAAAAAAGCAGCTGTATGTTCTTATTTTTTTTCATCAGAATTCTTCCAAGCTGGAATTGTTGATTCATGGGCAGAGTTCTTCAGGAAAAAACATTGTTTAGCCTGAGTGTTCCATAATATTTTTCCATGAGATCTTTGCAATGGTCAGATTAGAGTCTGAAATTATGGAATGCAGTGAGAGAGAAGCATTGCATGTGTTTGTGTTCCATGTTTCACTTGTCTTGGCACTCTTACTCTAACCTCATGAATGTGTTGTTTCAGAAGGCAGACCGTACATCCTTTTGAGATTTCTAAAGTGGAGCTTGACGAAAATGCTGTCCTTCAATTTGCTTATTCATCAGGGACTTTGTTGCTGACATTTAATCACACAACAGACCATTCGCTAGAATCTGATGTTCAGCTCTTTAGGAAATACTTCTGGGATAGAGCTTTTACACACAAGGTAAGTGCCAAGTTGTAATACAGTGATTTTCTTTTCACAGTTTAAGAAAAATATTATTCACATTTGACAGTTCCATCAGTCATTTTCAAATAGTCAACAGGTCTTGTTAACAGGAAAAAGGATGGGAAAAAAGAATCCTATGATGCCTTAAATACTAACAATTTTATTGTGGAATCAGGATTTGTGATCTAGAACTTAATCTGAAAAAGTGTAGTCTAGTTGAAAGCTTATGCCCCAATACATTTGTGAAGTCTGGTATCTATATTTAGTTGCCATAAAATGCCATAGAAAATATGATGAAACTGGTTTATCATTTTGGTTACTAAACCAAGAATTGTAGCATTTCACATTTAAATTCAAAGCTACTAAATTGCAATTTCCAAAAGAGGAAGCCAATGGAAATGCAATTACCCCTTGATATTTTTATGTTCAAAAAGTTGTAATACAGTTGTTCAGTTTAAACAATGAAATAATGTACTCAATAATGTTTAGAATAATGGTGAAAATAATATACAAAAATGCATCATATTAGGAATAGCTATTTGCGAATGTGGACGTATTACAAAAATGGTATATTAAGAAACATACATAAAAATTCAATTATTTATTTAAATTGAAATAATTTTTTCAATTTTTATTTAAGCTTTTATTTAAATTGAAAAGTGAGGTGGAAATTGTGAGAAACCAAAGTTGGTACTCAAGTCTAATTAAAATGTTGTATATATCTTATGTTGTACATACATACAATATAATTTATTTATTTATTTATCAAATTTGCCACTGCCCATCTCATTAAACGACTCTGGGAGGTTTACAAAACAATTAAAATCAATTAAAATTACAAAAATAAATACAAAATAAAAAGATCCAAAATAATTGGCGATCACTCAGGGAGCGTCATTGAGGCGCTAGCCACCCCCAGGATCGGGTAGAGTTGTTATCCCCCCACACAAGCTGGCAGAGCCAGGTCTTCAATTTTTTCTGGAAGGCTGGTAGGGTAGGGGCGTGCTGCACCTCTGGGGGGAGAATGTTCTAAAGGGCTGGAGCAATGGCAGAGAAGGCTCTCCTCCTGGGCCTTGCCAGTTGACATTCTCTCACTGACAGGACCCGCAACATGCCCTCTCTGCTTGACTGGTTGGGACGGGTTGATGTGACGGGGGTAAGATGGTCCCTCAGGTAACCCAGACCCATGCCATATAGGGCTTTAAAGGTGATAACCAACACTTTGAATTGGACCCAATGCAGCTCGCGTAGTAAAGGTATTATATGCGCCGTTCTTGGGGCACTCAAAATTATCCGCGTGGCTGCATTTTGGACCAGCTGTAGCTTCTGGATACTCTTCAAAGGTAGCCCCATGTACAGCGCATTGCAATAGTCTAAGCGAGAGATGACCAGGGTATGAGTGACTCACTGGAGAGCCTCCTGATCCAGGAAGGGGCGTGACTGGCGTACCACACGAAGGTGGGCAAAGGCTCTCCTGGCCACGACTGCCACCTGTTCCTCGAGCAGGAGTCGTGAGTCCAGGAGGACCCCCAGATTATGCACTGGGTCCATATGGGGCAATGCAACCCCATCCAAAACCAAAGATGGTAAATCCTTGGATACAGAGGGGCCTCCAATC